CTCTGATCTTTCTTGTCCCTCTCTGGTCTCTCAGGTCTCTGGTCTCTCTCTTGTCTCTTTCTAGCCTCTCTCTAGTGTCTTTCTAGTCTTTCTCTCTGGACTCTTTCTGGTCTCTCAAGCAATTCAAGAAGCAGGAGGGTCTAAGGACAGGGATCATCCACAACATTTATTAACATTTCTGGACAGTGTTTATTCTGCTCCCTTTGGTCTCCTTTGTGTTTGTTTTTGTTGAATATCCTGAGTTATGGTGCGTTCAGACCAAACGCGATTTCTGCGGCCAAAGCGACGGGTCTACATTGACACAACATGGGGGACGCGCGCCAAGGAGCGGCGAGAGATCACGCGGCGCGATTCGCGCGGCCAGAGCGGCGCAAATTTGAGCGTTTCGCGCGATTCGCGCGGCGTGTTTTGAGATGTCAAGCGTTTTGACGCGCGTTTCGCGCGATTCGTGCCTCCAACGCGGCCGCCGCTAGAGTTGAACAATGTTGAACTTTTTGGGAGAATTCGCGTGTGCCGACCAATCAGGAGCTTTCTCCTCCAGTGACGTAGTGACGCATTTCACTACCGGAAAAACACTGGTAGACGACAGCTATGGAGGACACGTTAATTGCTCAGGTCGGTGCTCATTCTGAGCTATATAACACTGCAGACCACAGCTACCGGGACCGAAATAAAAAGGAGCTTGCTTGGAGGAGGGTTGGTGGTTGGTGGTTGGTGTCTCGGGTAAGTTATTTTAACTTTTCAATGTTGTAAATATTTCCCCGCGAAAAAAACTACTACTTTCCTGCTTACGAGTTGATGTGTTTATTCAGTGGAAGTTTGCAAAAAGCGGTGGAAGAATCTGAGGGACACATATGCTAAGGAGAGCAGGAAGGAGAAGGAGAAGGTGAAGAAGAGTGGTGAAGAAGCAGGGAAAGGCCAGACGTGGAAGTACCTTGTGGTCATGTCCTTCCTCGAGCCCTACATCACTCCCCGTGACAGCTCCGGGAACATGCCAAGGCGAAGGGCCGAGGAGGAGCAGACCACAGGGTACAACCACCCAGAAGAAGAGCCAGAGGAAGCAGCAGCAGCAGGGTTGTCAGGTGCTGAAGGTCGGTGTCATGCAGCACACAGAGACCTCGAACAGTTGGAAAATTTCTTTCCTTTCTATTACCCACATTTTGCTGACTTTTACATTTATATTGCTTTCTGTGTATGCATTTCTTTTAATGCTTTCTTAACATCATGGCCAGGTGAAAATAGGCATTGGCTATTTTCAAACCAGGATAGATCTTGATCATGTGTTGTGTTAAATTTCACTTTTCCCTTTCATATGAACAAATCATTTAAATGTACATAATAATGTACATTATTATGTACATATAAATGTCATAAGCGCAATGTACACATGATATGAAATAATTGTATTTCTTGTTTTCTTCTGGCGCAGATACTGCCACCACCACACAAGGTGAGACATCTTGGCCTGAGCTGCTGCTGCTGCTGCTGCTGCTGCTGCTGCTGCTGCTGCTGCTGCTGCTGCTGCTTGCTTCTTCCTCAGCCGGTTCTTCTTCTGTGAGGGCTGGACCTTCCCCTGCTTCTGCACCTACAGGTGTGGCTTTTTTTAATCATTGTTTTATTTTTATTCTTATTACAGGACTGTTCATATAAACAAAATGTTACTGCATAATATGCCAAAATTACCCAAGGGCTGTTACATCAGTGTAGACGACAAATTTACAGAGAAACGACAAGATGTCAAGGCACTACAGGTGGAAAGAAGCTTTGGTCTGAAGCTTCACATCTTCCCTCTTTCTTTGATAAAAACATACTACTGAAATACCTTATGCTATAAAAGTACTGAACAAATACATGCAATGGTTGCCACAAGATGGCAGCTATCCTGTTTAATGCAGACAATAGAGTATTACTTTTTTACAGCCAATTTCAAATTTCATTGCGAAATACACTTCAGAGATATTAGTTTGTAACTGTCGAAATTTGTGCTTGTGTGAGTAATTTCATTGGTAACTGCAATGTTCAAGTTAATTGTAACACAAACACACAACTTAAAAGTGTTTTACATGTGTTTAACTATGTCTACACACTCTGGCTTTAATACAGATATTATTTGCTCTCTTCATTTTGCTTTTTTGAAATACATGTTCCACTTTTTAACACTGTGATTGCCCTGTGTTCTTTGAAGGCCCACCAAGGAAGAGGGCTCGGAAGAGGCCCACGTCCGTAGAGCCGCCTTCTGAGTGGGAGCGGGAGCTGCTGGAGACTCTACGGACCAAAGCAGCCGGACCGCCCGACTACTCAGAAGAACATCAGTTCCTGCTCTCTCTCGTTCCTCTCCTGCAAAGGGTGGCACCAAAGTCAAAAGAATTTGTGAAATTCAAAATGTATCAACTTCTATATGAAAGCAGCACCGTTCTGCTTAATTTGGAACCATTGGCCAGTACAGACAGTTTTTTGACCTAAGGTGACACCTTTTGCAGGGGAGGAAACAGACATGTGTCCCTTTCCTCTTCCACCGCACCTCCTCCAAGCAAGCTCCTTTTCATTTGTTTATATGTACATTTAATTTATTGTTCATTGTTTGTTCCTTTTTTTTATAAAGAAAATATTTTTCAAACCTCATGTGTTCTACTTCAAGCAAACCATTACTACCTTTCATATAATACTGACAGAAAATGCTATTCTATATTTGTACATTTATGTGATACAGGGGGGTTTTTGAGGTATTGACATTAAAAAGGTAGATTAAAAACTGCCAGAAAAGGTGCCGAATAAAATAATTTATGGATTTAAAAGAGCTGGGTGTTTCCAATAAAACCAGAAGTTAAAATGAATTAAAATCATGTTTAATACAATATAAAATAGATAAAATAGTAATTAAAAAGGAATTAAAACGATAAAATGATAAAATGATAAAATGAGGGCGGTCCAAAGGGCCTGGTCCTCTCGCCCGGCAGATGGACGAAGGGCAGCACTCCACGGCATCAGGGGGGGTTCCGCGCGCGCAGCTGCTGGCGTCGTACCTGCAACAGAGAGGCAGAGGGCCAGCTCTCCCGCTCACACCCACCAGGAAGCCCAGGCCTGAGGCCGCTTGATGCAGCGGGAGCTAGAGCGGTTGAGCGGTACTCACGGACAGGGAGAGCTCCCCGCTCTCCCGCTGCATCCTCTGACTTGTTTGCTGGTGGTGCTCGCTGCCTCCGGTCCCTCGCCTCTCTTCCCACCCGAACGCTGCGCCGCCTCACTCCCCTCCTACGGGGCGCCGGGGTCCAGCGGCGAGCTCCAGCCCTGTCGCACAGCACACACACGGGCCAGCCACGCACAGCACCCAGGATCCCCCCTTCAGGCCCAAGGCTTCCATACACCACGTCTACACAAGAGCAAAACTCACCCGGCAGGGCAGGGTCCAAATGCCCTGCCTCTGTGTAGTTCTCTCGTCGTGGTGCGGGGGTCCAGAGCGTGGGTGCCATGGTGCTGGCCCGGTGCGTGCCGGTCTCTCTTCCGGGCTCGCCTCCCCTCGCTGCGCGTTGCCGCTCCGCATGCCCCGAGTGTCGCGTCTTTGTCCTGCGCGGACTCGCATCCCGATCTCCTGCATGGCCTCTTTATACAAGTCACCCCAGACACAGGTGTCTTGATTTGCACTCAGGTGCATGGCAGGTGTGTCCGGTAACCATGGCTACTGGGAGGCATGAAAGAAAACACACAGCAAACCAAAAAAAACATGCAAACAAAACACATGCCATCCCAGTCCACCGGATTACATTTACTTTAATAAGAGCTGACTGGGTTTTATAGAAGATGAAATAACTAACACTTAAAGAGCAATACATTAGTTGGCAGTATTTTTTTATTCATTTCACCTTTTACTGTTTTAACAAACTTGTAATTACGGAAAAGCTTGAATGTGCATATGATTAACCTGAAGTTGGAGTGGAGTCGCAGTGGAGTCTGGCAGTCATTACCTAGAAACAGAAGGTATACAGGTGAATAGAATAGTGCAAATCAATATGGGTTTGGACTATGGCCAGAAAAAATGTAAAGAATTTCATATTCAAGAGGCTCAGCACATTATATGTCAGGAATGAAGTTAGGCTCTTTGTATTTTGTGGGTGGCTCTGAAAAGAGCCGTTGTGGGTCAGTCTTGTGGTGGACATGACTACTCTGTGGGCTGCCACGGCAGTGCTCCCTCCTCACTGAAGTGGGCCATGAACACTTTCCTTATGTCCACTGCTTCTCTGGTCGCGTTGTTGGCGGCCATCCGCTGCACGCCTGGAAGTGGTTCTTCACCGGTAGCAGCTCCCCTCGGTGCAGGAACCTGCCCATCTCCAGCCATCCTCATGAAGTTGTGAAGGACACAAGTGGCCTTCACACACTTCTCCACAACTTCTGGGGAGACTTCCAGGTGACGGCGAAACACTCTTCACTGCGCAGACCAAATCCCAAATGCATCCTCCACCACTAACCGGGCCCGGGAGAGGCGGGTAGTTGAAGGTGCGCTGCTCTGGGGTAAGGCCACCACGTCCAGGGAAAGGGCGCATTAAATTGCGGCGCAGTGGAAAGGCTTCATCTGCCACGAACACATGGGGCTGGGGTCCTCTGTGGTCAGCTCCAGGTATGCACTGGTCAGGAGGCAGGTCGAGTGTGCCCTCGCGCAGAGCCTCACCAAAGGCAGAGTTGGACATGATGCCTCCATCGCTGGATCTGCCGTAACCTCCCACATCAATGACCCTGAACCTGTACTGGGCATCCACTACAGCCAGGAGCACAAGGGAATGGTGCCCCTTGTAATTAAAAAACATGGACCCAGAGTTGGGGGGTGCCTTCACAGCCACAGAAATCGCGTTTGGTCTGAACGCACCATTAGAACGGTTTGGTTCTCTGATCTGTTGTTGAGGAATCCAAATCTCTTGAAATAAGCAGATGTCCGTCGTCTCTACGCTCACTTCTTGTTGACTTTCGTTCCTCTTTGAAAAACTCTTGACTCTTTCCCTGTTGTTTTTCAGATTTGAAGATGGCACAGTCTCGTTCCTGGACATCGTCGCCTTGAGTCACGGCTTCGACACTTTCTACAAACTCACAGGTGACGAGACGAGAGACTGCGAGACTGAGAGACGAGACGAGAAGGAGAAATGGCACCTTCAGAAGTGACGCCTGCACTTGTCTGAACAGCACTGGACTAAATCACATTCTCCACACATACAGCGCCTCGCCAAAGTATTAAGACAGCAACAACTTTTACACATTTTTGCCAAGTTTTACAGCCATAGACATAAAGATTTAATTAGATTTTTTTTACTGAAAGTTCACACACACAAAGTAGCAGACGACAGTAGCCTGGCCTTGTCCATCCGTACACTCCGCTTAATCATCATTTCCTGCATGTAACGTCTGGGTCTGGTCCCTGTGTTTTGGCGCGAATACACAATCGGTGAATTCCATCCAACCAATCAATCGTGGAGGCAGGTGATGTAGTTAGTTTGGTGACAGTCCAGCATTTTGCGCGTTTAACGGCACGGTTGTAGATTGGCAATGGGCGAAGAAATGCAATAGAAAAGAATTCCTGTCTGGTTCATCAAGAAATTGAAGCCGACGCAAGAAGAATGTTTAACACATGTAATCGCTGCAAAAATTAGTGGCGCAACTCCCTCCACGGGCTCTATTACTGCCTCGGCAAAGGAGGATGCTAAAGCGAGGCTTACAAAGCTAATTGTTAACGACACACCTCAGTGCATTAACCAACCGACACGGTAAACTCAGATCTAATCCGTTTCCATCTGCAAAGGGATGTTAACCCCTCCACCTTTAAAAACGGAGCAATGAACACCACAAGACCTCTCAGATACGAAATGTCATTTGCACTATGGTGTGGTACGACCAGGCTAAGACGCCAATGAAGTTAAAGAAAAATGAGAAAAAATAAATAGAAAAGTTGGACCACACAAGTATCTATACAGCTGTAAGAGCATTGAATTACCTTCATAAACAGCAACATTTGTAATAACTGCTCTAATGCACATGTGTCAAAGTCAAGCCCGCGGGCCAAAATCCGGCCCTGCGAATGAAGTATCTATGGGCCCCCGGGACATAGTGAACCCCTTAAGCTCGCGGGGGCCAGCAGTCTGCTGCAATAGCAAGATGTATTTTTGAACTTCGTAAGCCACAAGCTATAAATCATTTTAAAAGCTTATTTTCTCAGCTAATATTTATATGTAAGTGTAAACGATATCAGACTTTGCATTAAAAAGATATAAACGCATAATATGGGATACAAATAAAATCAAATCAAGTCTGTATTTGTTTTTTTACCCTTCGTCTTCTGCTGCTCCAACAAATTAGACTTTCCCCATCCTTGCTTAGTCTTTCTCTCCGTAACTGTTCATTGAAGAAGAATATCCACTTGTATTTCCCAAAGTATAATCCATTCTGCAGATTTAATCACCAAGTTTGAGCTTTTTTTTTTTTTACTATTTTCATGTTCTCAGATGTCTATTACATCTAATATGTACAGTATGAGGATTGGCTTTAGAGCATATTTTATCGAGCCAACAGGTGTCACCGGCACTGCCTCTGGATGTTGAGAAACATTGAACCAGTCCGGCCCTCGGCGCGTAGCAAAAATTTTTTTTTGGCCCTCTGATGTATTTGACTTTGACATGCCTGGTCTAATGATTGAATGGAGGGAAACTGTGTGTAACCTACTCTCTCACACACACACATATACATGTGTATATATAAAGACATTCTGTGAGGCCTCAGAGCTGAGTGTGTTTGTCACTCAACAAAATCATGATGGATTTATTTTGGTCATCACATCAACAAAGTTACAGTTAAAGCAGTTGATATGCAGCCAGCGGAAGTTCAATTTGGTAGACGTCAGCCAAAGGTAACCCCTCCAGGCCGGTTCTCATCCCCAGCCTATCGCACGGCAAACGCCCCCTTCCAATCACCGGTCCAGCCAGGCAAGCTGCTTAAAAGCGGAGGAACTCCCATTCTCGGCCTTCTTGAAGCCTGCAAAGAACCGTTCTGGAGGAACCGCTTGTCTACTCACGTTTACTCGTTGCATGTGTCCCTGCTGTCCTCCGTCTTGCTGCGTGTGGTCCGCTCCTCCTCCGCGTACCGCGCTGCAGCCTTGCTGCCGGGCCTCTCGTGCTGTGGTCCGCTGGTCCTTTGCCCGCTCCTCCTCCGTTGCGGCTCTTGTCCGCGGTGTTCGCCGCATATCTGAACCGCTCGTCTCGTCGCTGGCCAAGGCTGACAGCATACGGAGCCCGTCTGGACCGTGCGGTTGGGAGCTCTGCGCATCCCTGCGTCCTCGAGCCGGTACGCTCGCGTGGTCACGTTGTTTCTCCCTTGTCATCTGGCGTCTGAGGGTAAGTTGAGACCCGCGAACCGCCACGTTTTTTCCCCTCAGCATTGCGTACTTACATGCTCAGTTCGGCCCTCCGTGCATGATCTGCAAGGCCAGTTGGCCGAGTGCATTGGTGTACAACATCAGTTAAAGCCCTCGCATTGCTAACTGGCAGGCTCTCTTAACACAAGCACCGTTAAATCTCCTTCACCTCTTACTGCAAGCTTCGTTATACCTACACATTGAACTGCAAGATCTCAGATTAATCCCTCACATTGGACTGCGTGCTCAGTTTTAATCCCTCACTTTGGCCTGCAGGCTCTGTTTAAATCCCTCTCTTTGGACTGCAAGCCCCGTTTAAATCCCTCTGGACAGGAAAAGAAGAAGGATATGGTTCTGCTCATATCTGGAACGCTTATATATAAAAATAAATAAATATAAATAATTATAAATATGAATAAATATAAATAAATAAATACATAAATAAAACTACATAAATAAATAAATAAAAAAAAAACTGCAGGCTCTGTTGGATCCCTCACACTGGACTATAGGCTTTCGGTTTAAACTCCTCACTTGGACTGCGGGTTCAGTTAATCCCTCACTTGGACCGTAAAAACTGTTAAATCCCTCACACTGGACTGCAGCTCTCGGTTTAATCCCTCACTTGGACTTCAAGCTCTCAGTATAAATCCCTCTTTAGGACTGCGGGCCAGGTTGAATCCCTCACCTGGACTACAAGCTCTCAGTTAATCCCTCACCTCGGACTACAGGTCGTTTAAACTCCCTCGCACCGGACTGCAGGCTCTCCGTAAACGCCGCTCACGTGGACTGCGGGCTCAGTTTCAATACCTCACTTTGGACTGCAAGCTCTATTTTAAATCCCTCACATTTAGACGGCAAGCTCTGTTTAGGTCCCTCGGCGGTCTCGTGTCCGCAACCTCTTCCCGCTCTCCGTGAGCCCCAAGTCGGCTCGCGGCTCGGGCGCGGGAGGTTGTCCGTGGGCTACGTCATTGGCCCCTTCTCTCCGTCTCGATCTAACCCGATGGGCATCGCCACCCGCAAGCACTCCAGGAAGAAGCGTCTCATACTCGTCCTCTCCTGTCCCCGCTCCGGGTCCCCCGAGCATCCACAGCCCCTTCCCTCCAGCGCCCTTCTCCCTGCAGTCCGCTACCGTGGACCACGCGATCAGGCTGATAAAGACTTTCGGCCCCGGCTCCTGGCTCTCCAAGGCCGTCATCCCGGACGCGTTCAAGCTGCTGCCATCCATCCCGACCACTGGCGCGGTTCAGGGGTCAAGAGGCGTCGGAGTTTCTTCTTCACAGTGCGCCTCACCTTTGACTGCCGGAGTAGTCCCTCTCTGTTCAACAATCTCTCGGAGGCGCCGTGTCGGATTCTGCTTAATTACGCGCGGCTCCCCCCTGTCTGCATTTCCCCAATTTTCCCTCGTAGTCAACCCACCCTCAGACTGCTCCGGGGCTCTCTCCGCAAGCTCAGGCCCGCCTTTTCTGCCCTCGGATTCCTCCACTCCGGAAAGACCACAGGCCCCGCCAACGCTCTGGAGTTTCTCGGCATCCGCCTCGACACACGCGCCATGGAGGCCTCCCTCCCGCTGGACGAGCTCGAACGCATCCGCGTATCTCCCGGTCTGCCTTGGCCTTCCCGTCACTTCGAGGGGTCCTTGCTCTCCCTCCTCGGGCATCTTCATTATGCCGTCCGTATCATTCTCCAAGGTTGTTCTTTTAATTCCAGACTCCTCTCCCTCGCCGGCTCCGTCTCCTCCCTCAACGATGCTGTCTGCCGGACGCGGGGCGCCGCTCCGACCTGGCGTTCCGGTCCCGTCTGCAGAGCCGCTGGGATGGTGTATCTCTTTTTTTTTTTACAGTGACATCATCCTGTCTCAGATGCCCCGCGGTTCTTCACGGACGCAGCCCCGTCCGTGGGTTTTGGGGGTTTTCCAGGACCAGTGGTTCGCCGGGCCCCGGCCCGACGCTTTCCCTCGAAGCATCTCCTCCGCGCTCCACGAGATATATCCCATGACCGTAGCCTGCGTGCTGCGGAAACATACGTGGCATAGGAAAGGATTTCCGTGACGTGCGACAACCTCGACGTCATTGAAAAAATTAACAGAGGTCGTTCATCCTCTCCCCAAATCACATCCTCCTTAGACGCATCACATGGCTCTCAGTCCTGAATCAATTTATCATCACTGCTCGTCACGTCCCTCGTCACCTAACTGTCTTGCTGACTCTCTCCTCTCGTTTAAATTCCAGGAGTTCTGACGCCTCTGCCCTTCAAGCCAAGCTATCGCCATGCAGATCCCCTGCACGGAAATCCCTCGCCCTGGTCTAGTCCCTCCGTCTCTTCACCTTCTCTCCTCCGCTGCATCCTACATGAAAATGGGCTTCTTACGCATAAGCGAATTCACAAACTCTCACGCCACCTTTAAATGCATCCCGAGACATTGCCTTCTCTGACCTGTCATATTATCCCGACTACTTCAACCTCCACCTCAGCATTCCAAACGCAAGGCGCTTGCAATATAGTCATAAAGCCCGGTCTGACACACAATCTCCCATGTCCCTACAGATCCATGATGCATTACACTCGCCCCTGCCTACGACGCGGAAAGGAGATCTCTTACTCCCGATAAACCTCCACGTCCTCTAACTGGTTCAGGGCCCAACTCAAGTCCGTACTGCTGCTTGTAACATGTCTCCCCATACTCAACACAGCCCACTCCTTTACCGGAATAGGCGCCGCCACGAAGCGCGGCAGCGTCCCTGGGGGCTCCCCATTCCGCCCTTCTCAGCAGCGGGCCGCTGGTCATCATCGGCCCCTCCATCCACATACATCACACTTGGCCTGACACTTCTTACCATCCTGTGGCAGCCCAGCGGCTTTTGGCATCCTCCATAAAACGCTCGCTAAACTATCTGGTGGCGGCAGCAGCTGAGTATCCGCAAGTTTGGTCACAGCAGATAGCGGTCACAGTATATAGTGATAGCGGTCACAGTATATAGCGATAGCGGTCACAGTATATAGCGATAGCGGTCACAGTATATAGCGATAGCGGTCACAGTATATAGCGATAGCGGTCACAGTATATAGCAAAAAATGGTTAGCGGTCACAGTATATAGCAAAAAATGGTTAGCGGTCACAGTATATAGCAAAAAATGGTTAGCGCGCGATGGTCGCGACTCGTCAGCATATAGCGATAGCGGTCTCAGTATATAGCGATAGCGGTCACAGTATATAGCGATAGCGGTCACAGTATATAGCGATAGCGGTCACAGTATATAGCGATAGCGGTCACAGTATATAGCGATAGCGGTCACAGCATAGAGTAGTCTCGACGTCTGTCCCCTCCAAACCAGGCTGCAAAACTCCATCAACTCACACACCTTTTTGGGGATTGGCACGCTCCATCGCTAGAGCCCCTCCGATCTGAAGGCCGCCCCGGGGCCTAGGCGCCAAACCTCCTCCCAATAAAATACTCAAAAGCTTCTTGTTTCTCGTCTCTCCAAATTGAAATGCAGCCAGCGGAAGTTCAATTTGGTAGACGTCAGCCCAAAGGTAACCCCTCCAGGCCGGTTTCTCATCCCCAACCTATCGCACGGCAAACGCCCCCTTCCAATCACCGGTCCAGCCAGGCAAGCTGCTTAAAAGCGGAGGAACTCCCATTCTCGGCCTTCTTGAAGCCTGCAGCCACCGCCTCCCCTCCTCCTCCTCTTCACCCCTGCTTCATTCTGCTTCAATCTGCTTCCCGCTTCAAAATGCCGCCCCACCAGTGCCTAGGTCCCGGGGGATTGGCACGCTCCATCGCAGAGCCCCTCCGATCTGAAGGCCGCACCGGGGCCTAGGGCGCCAAACCTCCTCCCAATAAAATACTCAAAAGCTTCTTGTTTCTCGTCTCTCCAAATTGAAATAATATAATGAATTGTAACCAGAAAAGGAAAAGGCAGAAGCAGCTTCTTCGAGCCTGTCCTGTTCTACACCAAACATAGTGTGTATGTTTGGTGTGCTATATTTAACGAAACGTACAAAAAAACCAAGTCATATGTCATATTCTTTAAAGACCTTATGCCGGGTTTTTTTTTTTTAAATTGTGGATATCAAAATTGCATGACAATGTCGATCTGAAAGAGATTCCGGCAAAAAAAAATCCTATATTTTATAAAAAGAACGTGTTTTTCATGAATTTAAGTTGTCTATGCTCTAACCTGTGTGTGACGTCATAGCGGGCTACGCCCATGCATTGAAAACCATGGATCTATGCCACAGGACTGCCTTTTCTCTCTTCTCTCCACTGATGCCCAACACAATACTGCACTCTACAGGTGACAATTGCTCACTACACATAAATTGCCGTTTTGAGAGTGAAAATGTGTCTCAGGTGGGATTTGAACCCCAGTATCTGTTTCGACAGTCCATCGACACAACCACTGGACTATCTCAGTACAAACAAAGTGTTTCAATCTAGTAGTAATCTCAAACTCGCTGTATACGGCCTTGTCATCTTGAATATCCGCGAAAAAAGAACGAATACCAAATTGTAAACAACTTACAGCGTTGAAACGTACCCGTTCTGACGTCACCAAGGGCTGTGAAGTTTTTTCGTTTCTAAGGGCGTTGCTATGGGGTTATTTCGATTTGGGGGGATCAGACAAAAAAAACAACAACTGATTTTGAAACCTTTAGTAGTTCTCTTCTAATATAAAATGGTATTAAAACTGTATTTCTAAATAAATCAAACCCGGCATAAGGTCTTTAAATATTTGAAACTTAAGTTACGTTTTAAATTCATGAGCAGAAAACACGCCTTGATTTCACTTTAGTTCTTGCTTTAGTAGATTCAAGATAAATACACATTGTAATGGTTTTATCAAGTTTCTCTCAAGCAGCACACCAGAGAAGTCAGAGGTCGGGGATAACGTTGTTGAGAGCGTTAAGTTTTACCAAGATTTACCAGGACTTGAACATCTCACGGAGCACTTTCAATCCATCGTTTGGAAATGGAAAGAATATGTCACCACTGCAAACTTACCAAGACACGGCTGTCCACTTAAACTAACAGATCGAGAGAACTGTTAGTTTAGGGTTGTAGGCTGGGGACTAGTCCTTAGGTTCAGGGAGTCCAGGGTTTGAGGCTGGGGACTAGTTCTTAGGTTCAGGGAGTCCAGGGTTTGAGGCTGGGGACTAGGCCTCAGGTCCAGGGAGTAAAATCCCATCAGTGGAGCAGACTAAGGGACAACCGGTGAACAAGAAAGCTACATTTAAAACACCAAGTCAATGTGACAGTGAAGAGGAAATGTATTATAAGGATATTCCTCCTGTAGCTGTGGATGAAGGTGAAAAAACAGATTAAAATGGACACACAAAAAATAAAACACAGAATGGTTTAGAGTCTGGTGCATCAGGCAGTCAGTTAAATCTGCACTAACTGACTTTATGTCTGTATTCATTAGTTAAATGCTATCCATGTCCATGCAGTGCATTGGGATATACGTCCTTTTGATTATATTATAATTACATTATGTTTTAGATCGAGTTTTGATGAAACAAGGAAGAGAATGTGTTTCGGGTCGCAGATTGTGACCAATCACAGCGGACCACTAGCCCCCACTTTCGTGAGAAATCTACAGGTCCGTTGTTAGCATAGACTGCTGAGTTAGCACAACAAGCCGAGGAGCTAACCTGAAGCTTCCTCGTCTTCGTCACCAGTTACTGCTTACACATCGAAACATCCAAAAGAAAGTCTCGTTCCTCCGCGCTTCCCGGTTCTATCGTTCTATGGTCACGCCATCCACGTGCAAATATCCATATCCATGATTCTATCCATATTGGGAGACGCTAGCTCTGTCAACAACAGTAGGTGTGTGTGGGGGGCGATAGCTTCATGGGTGCGGGGAGGGGAGCAGAAAGAGCGAGGCCAGCGAGTCCACGGCTTCAAAATCCCAAAGTCAGTTAGTGCAGCTTTAATATGCATTCATTTAGATGTAGAAGTGTGTGGTGCATTACAAACCATGGACTCAGCAGCTGCTTATAGTCTGTTAATGATGAGTTCTCCTTCCCTCCCTCTTGTAGGTGGTATGCAGTCTGTCCAGCAGCACACGTTTGGCCTGGCACGGTTCACTTACCTGGTCCTGTCCAGCCTCCGCCACAGCAGCGGGGCAGCCGTGGCCCGGGTCTACGCTCAAGACCAGTTCCGCGCTCCCGGCTCCCAGGGGCCGATCCTCAACTTCAACCTGTTGGACTCACACGGGGAGGTCATCGGATATGCACAGGTGAGGGGGGAGGCAGGAGGGGACGGGGGAGGAGAAAGGGGAGGGGATTCAGGCAGAAGATATACACGGAAATGTTATCTCCTCTCTCTTCACTGTGATGTTCCTCTCTCCCCTCTTCTCTCTCCTCTCCTCTCCCTCCTCTCTCCCCTCTTCTCTCTCCTCTCCTCTCCCTCCTCTCTCCCCTCTTCTCTCTCCTCTCCTCTCCCTCCTCTCTCCCCTCTTCTCTCTCCTCTCCTCTCCCTCCTCTCTCCTCTCTGCTCCCCCTCCCTCCCCCATGTCTACACAATGACATAAACTAAGTCCTGCCCTCTCTTGCCTCCTGTCTGCACAGTGACATAAACATGACGTGCGTGTGTGTCTGTGTCCGTGTGTGCATGTGTGTGTCTGTGTGTGCATGTGCGTGTCTGTGTGTGCGTCTCTGTGTGTGTGTCTCTGTGCGTGTGTGTGTCTGTGCGTGTGTCTCTGTGTGTGTGTCACTGTGTGTGTGTGTGTGTGTCTGTGTGTGTGTGTCTCTGTGTGTGTGTGTGTGTGTGTGTGTGTCTCTGTGTGTGTCTCTCGGTGTGTGTGTGTCTGTGTGTGTAGGTGGAGCGTATGGCCTCTCTCTTCAACATCCACGTTCGCACCGGCTGCTTCTGTAACACTGGGGCCTGTCAGGACGCTCTGGGCATCAGCAACGAAGACGTCAAGGCCAACCTGCAGGTGAAGGAGGAGAGGAGCACAGAGGAGGAGGTGCAGAGGAGGAGGTGCAGAGGACGTGCAGAGGGCAGCATAGGGGAGCGTAGAGGAGGACACACGGAGGAGCTCTCTCTATCTCCTCTCTCTCTTGTCTCTTTCTAGTCTCGCTCTGTTCTTCCTGATCTCTCTGTGTTCTCTCTCTGCTCAGACTCTGTTCTCTCTCTCTGGTCTAGTCTCTCTCTCTCTCTCTGGTCTCTCTTGGATCTCTTTCTCTCTCTTCCTGCTCCCTCTAGTCTCTCTCTGGTCTCTCTTGGATCTCTCTCTCTCTCTTCCTGCTCCCTCTAGTCTCTCTCTGGTCTCTCTTGGATCTCTCTCTCTCTTCCTGCTCCCTCTAGTCTCTCTCTGGTAAAAAATCAATACATTTTTTACATCTATTGTTATTTTCAAGATAGAGATTTTATACTTATTTTTGATGCTAGAATTAGAGATTTTGTTTTATTTTAATTAGTACAGCTTTTGTTCACTTAATGTGTGCCGTGTGCTCCTCTTTCCTACTGTTCTCTAACCTCTCTCTCTCTCTCTCTCTCTCTCTCTCTCTCTCTCTCTCTCTCTCTCTCTCTCTCTCTCTCTCTCTCTCTCTCTCTCTCTCTCTCTCTCTCTCTCTCTCTCTCTCTCTCTCTCTCTCTCTCTCTCTCTCTCTGGTCTCACTTCACTAAAAAGACTTAATTCAATCATTTACACATATCTTCCAATCCCGACATTGTCTTTACTTCTATAAAAAGGTTATAAACATAATAATGAGATACTTTACCAATTTCTATCTTTGCTCCTTCTTCGTTCAGGCCGGTCACGTCTGTGGGGACGACGTGGATCTGGTCCTGGGACGTCCCACCGGCTCCGTCCGTGTGTCTTTCGGCTACATGTCCACGTTCGAAGACTGCCGGAGCTTCCTGCGTTTCGTCACGGAGTGTTTTGTGGAGGGGGAGGCGACCGTGGACAGAGAGCGAATAGAAGAGCTCACCAAAACCAGCCTCCGACCAATCGCAGGCCACGACGGGGAGATCCAGGAAGTGAGGAGAGAGGAGGACAGAAGGAGGAGAGAGGGAGCAAAGGAGAGGAGATCAGAACAGGCCGGAGAAGCCACAGAGGAGGAGTGTTCTCTCACCAACATCTACGTTTATCCGGTCAAGTCCTGCGCCTCCTTTGAGGTCCGAGTTTTAGTTATTTATTTATAATTTATACATAAACAAGACACACACAGATATCCACAGAACAAACAGGAAATGTGTGTTCTCTGGAAACAAAACAAGGTCTAAAGATGAACAATTTGGTCTGGTCTCTTTCTGGTCTCTCTCTGGTCTCTCTCTGATCTCTCTCTGGTCTCTCTCTGGTCTCTCTCTGGTCTCTCTCTGGTCTCTCTCTGGTCTCTCTCTGGTCTCTCTCTGATCTCTCTCTGGTCTTTCTCTGGTCTCTCTCTAATCTCTCTCTTGTTCTTCTCTGGTCTCTCTTCCGTCCCTCTCTGGTACCTCACTTGTCTCTCTGGTCTCTTTCTGGTCTCTATCTGGTCTCTCTCTGATCTCTCTCTGGTCTCTTTCTGGTCTTTCTCTCTGGTCTCTCTCTGGTCTCTCTCTGGTCTCTCTCTGGTCTCTCTCTGGTCTCTCTCTCTGGTCTCTCTCTCTGGTCTCTCTCTCTGGTCTCTCTCTCTGGTCTCTCTCTCTGGTCTCTCTCTCTGGTCTCTCTCTCTGGTCTCTCTCTCTGGTCCATTTTCACAAATAGAAGTCATTTTACAGGTTTATCTCACTTTTAGATTAATATTGAGCTCTTTCACATTTCCATAAAGGGCTTGTTCACACGAAAGTGTGAAATACAAAAGTCTGACAGAAGCCAGACATTTTATTCTGATAATCAGAAGATGTATAATGTTTTTCATTGATCCAAATGCCTTCTCTGTCCATAAGTAGTTTATAGAAAATAGCACAGACCTGATCCTTTGATGGAATGAGCTGCAGAAGTTTGTTACAGATTCTCAGATCAACTTTGGATTGATGCAGTAAGCCAGTTAAAAATTAAACCGGAAAAACACTTTTTCTCAAGTTTGATTTTTAGAAACAAATTGACAGAAATCATCACATCCGTTACAAATGTCTCTTGGGTCATTTAAATGTGTTTTATTTTTTAAATGAAGTGGTTTCCTGATGTTGTGTTCGTGTTCATGTCTGTGGGAGTTCATCTTTGTCACAGAAGAAGGATCCAATCAGAGGCTGGATTTTTAACATTTCGCCAAAAATTGTATTTGTCAATCATTTCTTTTGATTTCATCCACACTCTCTCTTTGATATGTCTGTGTTTGAAATCCTTTCTCATCTGTGATAGTAAATTTAGTTTCTGAGTGATAACCTTTTAAAGTCCATATACTGTGACACGTTACTGTGAACACACACATACTGTTTCTATCTTAGAAATGTTAGACCTTATATTATTCTCTAACTATCACAGCTGACACAGTACTTCTCTAAAATGTTAGTTTTTGACCCCGTGACCAAAATGTTGGACACAG